CTGCCCCCCCAGCACACCACAGTGTAGAAGAGGCTGCTGGCAACCACAGACTGGTAAAACATCCACAGCAGTTTGCTGCAGATGTTGAAAGACGGCAATCTCATAAGGAAGTACAACCTGCTTTGTGTCTTCCCATACAGGTTGCTGGTGTTTGTTGTCCAGTCCAGTTTATTATCCAGCCACAGCCCGAGGTATTTGTATGATTTCACAGCCTCCACCTCAGCTCACCTGAGATTTTCTTCAGCCTCTCTATAGATGCAGATGCAATAGGGGTCTCTTCTCTGTTGCTCTCCCCAATCAATCCCCTCTGCTTCAAATCTTCCATCGCCTCTGCTGGGCTGGTATAGGTAGGATATGCAGAATTTTGCTGGAGGTGGGGTCTGAAAGTGGAGACCTTTTTCTTTAAGTAGTTTTCTGATCGGTGTGTATCCCTTCCTCTTCCTCTGAATCTCTGCAGGGTAGTCTTGGTCAAAATACGCCCTATTCCCCTTATGGTAAAGTTCTCTCTTTGTCCACACCGAGAAGACACTAACTGCTGTGGCTTGGGGTCGAGCACTGTGACAGCACTGTATGCCAAGTTCAGTGTCAGGAAGGGACAACTCGGTCCTGATGAAACTTTCATTAAATTCTTGCTGTTTGTCCCTTCAGCACCCTCCGGAATCCCATTCAAGCTTATATTGTTCCTTCCTGAGAGTGCTTCAACATCTGTCAGTTTAACTTGAATGTTTTTTGGATGTGTAGGGCTTAGCGTAGCACCTCTTTAGCTTCGGCGCGCCAGTCCTCCATGTCCGCCACTCATTGTTCCGCTTCCGCCACTCTGCCCACCGTGTCTTTCAAATCTGCAGCAATTTAATTTAACTTGCAGTTGATGTGTTCTCTGAAGTTTGCCATGTCCTTTTTCATGTCTCTGGAAAAGGTTTTGTTAAAGTTGTTTAGCTCCGTCTTGCATAAAGTGCACCCAGCAGCTATTAGTTATTAAAAAAAAATGCAACTTTAAGCACTGACTTGTAATCTTGCAGTAATAACAATGGCAAGATTTGTGGGTCAGTTGCATTGTTTTATTATTTTTATTTGTATTATTTTTTGAAAGTTAGAACAAGGTATAGGTATTTATTGTAATGTGACTTATTAATTGTGACTTCATCATTTTGAAACGTAGAAAAAAAAAAAACTTACACAGAGGGAATTCCTCAAGACAAAATCCTCTCAAATTGGGGGTCTATGGTCTAATGTGTGTAACGCGAGGGTTTGATGTGTGGTGGTTGGAGCACTCTTTATAAGAAGAAACAGCAGGATGGAGACGGATAAAGCAACACTTTACTGTTCTTCATCAAGTTCACAGCAACAACACTTCCTCGTTCTGACCATCATGTGACTGAACTAACCAAAATTAGAAGGAGAAACCACAGGTAGGGGGTAGATTCAGCATAATATTGTAGCTGTTTTAAAGATGAATATGTGAATATGTAAATATGTAAATAACACAAACACAAATATGTAAATAGTTAACTGTGTAAAAACTGTCAATATATTTTTAGTAAATTACCTTAAATATATGAATTAACTTCTAAAGCTTACATGTGCATCTACTGTGGGGAAACAATGTTCACTCCCAGACTTCCATTGTACTCACAGTGACAGTGTCAGAAAAAAAGAAGAAACAAATCCTTCAGGTGTCTCTGGTTTCACTGTTTCAGTAATTCAATCTCTCAAGGTAGTTTATGTGTGAACTGAATGACTATATACTGTACCTGTGCATTAGCTCCCCCTAGTGGTGGAAAGCAGCCAAGGAAATGTCAGATGGGGTGGATGGGAAAGTATTTTTACCGTGTGTTGTATATAGCCATATATATATGCCATATCTTGATCGCCCCTCCCCAAATGATGGCAGATATCATTTGGAAATGGAAAATAAAATAAAATAGCATAAACAGTATACATACAACATAAAATGGTGCAAAGGAGCAGCGTGTAAAGGATGTTGGAATAAATATTAGAATCTAATTATGATAATATATACAATATATACAGTGAACAGTATGCATAGATAAGTTTTGAATGTTGATATTTTATGTTTTAAACTGAATTTCAATAATGAAAAATGAAACTTTCTCACAAATATTACTTATAGATAGAAATTTCACTTACTATATTTCCAATAAATTCATCTAAACAAAAAAAAGATTCATATGACAAGCTCCCATTCAAAAATCCTGCGAGCAAATTGATGTGTCATATGACCTCTTTCCACCAATTACAACCTCACAACAAACTCCTTTAGCCACACAACCAGGAAGTGAAAAGCACCTGACTTGTCAAAATAACTCTCTATTGCATGTTGTCACTTTGTAAGTTTCATAGGTCGTTTCAGCGTCTTGATATCATTTCATATGATTTATTTGATATATTATAGATATATTAGTGTTTAAACTAGCGGTTGCTCCATGGCCAGTTCCTTTCCAACTGTACCCGAGCTGGTTGCGGAGGCTCGGCGTTTGTATGGGCAGGAGTTCGGGGAAGAGGCTCCTCTGACGGCGGTGTGTGCTCCTGGAAGAGTCAACCTGATAGGGGAGCACACTGACTACAACCAGGGATTTGTACTTCCAATGGTAACACTATGCCCGCTCACTCGCTGCCCTAGCGAGCGGAACATCATCGTCGCACCAAATGTCATTCAAACAATGTGGCTTTTAAATGTTACCCTGTTTGGTGGCGAACATGTTTTCATGACATATCTCTGGGCCTCTTCAAAAACAGTTTGTAGGTGTCTACTGTTCGGCATGCAAGTGCACCCAGCAGCTATTAGTTATTTTAAAAAAATGCAGCTTTAAGCACTGACTTGTAATCTTGCAGTAATGTGGTAGTTTAAAATGGCAAGATTTCCTTTGCTGTTTGGTGGGTCACTTACTTGCCGGATTTATCAGGAGAGCAGAACCAAGTATAAGCACATAGTTTATAGTTCCATATTCCAGTAACAAGCATAAAACTCAATACTTCCTTATTTTTTAAATGGAGTTTGGCAGGGTATGTCCTCTCTGACAAAGAGGAGAAGATAACCACCCAGATGCATGTGTCTCTGTTTGGTGAGCCAGGCGCTGCCCCTGGTGACTGTGGTGGTAGGGCGTCAAACCTCTGGCCAGGATGTTACCGTGGTAACGGCAGCTGAGGATGCTGATGAGCCGTGGAGGGTGGACTTCAGCCTGTCCAGTGATGGATCGCCACTGTCTCCAGGGTTACCCAGCTGGGCAAACTATGTGAAGGGTGTTATATGCCATTACAGGGGTAAACAAATGAGCAATGACTGTACACAGCTATAAAAACATTACACTCGGGTATTCTAATTTTAAAAAAGAAATATTAATTTAACTTTAATAGGAGTTTATTTTTCATTTTTCACCTTGTGGTAGTAAATCGTGTCCTGTCAGAGTGAAAGAGAGCAGATGCAAAGCAGAAGCTTGTTGATCTCACAAATGTTCTTTTATCCTGCCTTGTTTGGATACCACAGGATATTTATTTAATGTGCACTCTCTCGGTCTGTGTCTGGTGTGCTTCAGCTCCTCCTGTCCCAGGTTTCAGGGCAGTGATAGCCAGCAGTGTCCCCCTGGGAGGAGGGCTGTCCAGTTCTGCCTCTCTGGAAGTGGCTTTCTACACATTCCTGCAGCAGCTCAAGCCAGGTCAGACTCTGATTAGAGACTCTCCAGTGTTACTCTGATAGTCAGTGGGTGGGTTATGTCAGAGATAGTTAGTGTCCAGTGATTTTTGAGGAAAGGCTAATATTTGATTGACAAATTGGCAAACTTATATATTGGTGTTAATATAAACTACACTTGAAGTCCTGCTGCATTTGATGGTCTCAATATTCAACTTTACTTAACTTATTACACCTAATGATTTACCTACAGCAGGGCTAAAGTGGGGCGCGCCATAAGGTTTGATTTGGCCAAACAGATATTTCTAGCAAAAAATTAAAGCTGCAGTAGGTAATTTTTATAAAAATAACTTTTTGTCATATTTGTTAAAACATTCACTATATCCTGACAGTAGTACACAAGACAGATAATCTGTCAAATAATCAGGTTCCTCTGGCTCCTCCTAGTGATCCTAATGGTATTTTCACAAATCCGCTGCAGCTAAATGCTAAATAAACACTGAAGCGAGGGAGTTGCAATCTGCAAGTACACCGCTAGTGACCACTAAATCATACACACTGGAGTTTATTTCAACCAAACCACAGTTGGTGATTGATGGAATGGTGGAAAGACAAACCAAGGCTTTACCTCAGCAAAACAACGGCTCTTTCTCTGTAGGGATAATTTCCATGATGTTGTCAGACGCTTAGAATAACAATCTGAGCCTGTCAGTGGCAAAAACAAACACTGTTAGTGGACGTACTTTGGAGTCCAGTTTGAAAAATACTGAAGTTACTGTATGAGTTTCAGTTTTGGCCCTCCAAGGGCAGGTATGTGATCATTGATTTGTACTATCTATTTGACATTTTGTCTCTTTTCCACAGATGATGGAGACAAGGTTTCTAAAGCAGTCGCCTGTCAGCAGGCAGAACACACTCATGGTGGTGTACCCTGTGGCATTATGGACCAGTTTGTGTCTGTTCTCGGCAGGGAGGGGCATGCTCTGCTCATTGACTGCAGGTAGTGAGGGTACATTAATGCTAGAATCTTTGGTAACATCGAGATTACTGCTTCCTCATGTTTTGGCATCCAGTATATTTATGTCCACCGTTGTAAATTGTGTACTTCTTTGCGGTTTGACTCAGGTCCCTGGAGGCCACCCCCGTCCCCCTGTCAGATCCAGGTCTGGTCATTCTCATCACCAACTCCAATGTGAAACACTCTCTGACTGGCAGTGAGTACCCCATGAGACGCAGACAGTGTGAGATGGCTGCCTCCGTCCTGGGAAAGGACAGTCTCAGAGATGCTACCATGAAGGACCTGGAGGGTGTGAAGTATATTTTTTATTATCCTGTGCTGATCCATTCTGTCTGCTTGCTTTCCTGATTCCTGCCCCATCATATCCTCTTCCATCCCACTGATGCAGTTCTCTATTGTCGTGTCTCATACTACTGGCTCTGTTCCAGTGATTTGGTGCTGTTCTTTTTCTTTCCCTCAAGGAAAATTCAACATTTTGGAAATATTTGTGTTGTGTAATGCTTTTTTAAGAGTGAGATGAAAATCAATATCAGCCTTATGTCTGTGTGTTAAGTACGGAGATGGATATATGAAAGATGGATGTTGCGTCTCCACTTCCCCTCACTCCCAAAAATCAATCATGACGTGAAACCCCTAAATAACTAATTAAAACTCAACTTATAAGAAAAATGAACACTTGCATGCATCACTGTGATAGGAACTACCTACCTGTTCATGACAGAAAAATGTCTTTAATGTCTGTAATTAAATCTTTTTGTTTAAAACTGATTTCCCTTCTGCTAATATGGAGGCAGCAGGCTTTATGTCCTATACCACAGTCAGCCACCAGAGGGCAATGGAGATGTTTTGGCTTTACTACTAGAGGGCTGTCATGTTGTCCATCTTTGTATATGTCAGTGGTAAACACATGTTTAGCCTAGTATCGCATAAAGACTGGAAACAAGGGGAACGAGTTAGCCTGGGTCTGTACAAAGTGCCAACAACACTATTAAACCAAAAATAAGTCAGACCTGTGCAGCATTCGAACACTGATTTATAATTCGAATGTCAACATTACGAAGTAAGCTTTGAACTATTTAGTACAGCCCTATGCATCTCAACTGATATTTCAGTTACATTTTAAGCTGGTCAGTTGTGCTATAGAACTACTTAAGAGCTAACCAACTATATAGCCTGCAGAGCGGCATTAGCAAGAGCACTTCCCCTCAAGATATTCGTAGCTTTGTAGCAAATATTTGTAGCTATTTGTAGATACTGATCAGGAACCTCGTTCTTTGGTTTGGAATCCATAGAATTTTCTCAAATTTGGTTTAACTTTCTTTTGTGGGAGATACAATGGGCAAAGTGACAGTTGACAGGCTCAAGAGTTTGGAATGACTGGAAAGATAAAGGCCCCCCATGTCAAGCTTTTTTAAGCCATGTGAGAATATTCATGATTATCCCAATAATGCAAGCTAAGCTGCGTTATATCGTGATTTGCAATAAAATGTTCTATCGCCTCATTTTTAATCACCATACGGTTCATGTTGATCAGAATAACTAATTTATTTTCAAAAATAGAGAAAACTCAAATGACATCTTGGTGGGAAGCAGCAGGAAGAGATTCAGGTGCTTGTTCCTTATGTATTTTCATTTTGTAGGTACTGAAGAAAGCCACGGATTTATTTGCTTAAAACTTACTCAACAATTAAGTTGAAACATACCGTAAAACTTAAATCAAAAGCAGGGTCTCCTTCACTAGCCTTTTTCGGCTATACGTTTTGACAAATAAAGGCAGGTCTTAATTAGAGGCCTGGTCTAGATTTTATAGAAAATCTTTGGATGTATAAAACTCTTAAACCCCACTTATCGTGCAGTTTTGACCTGTAATTTCAGAGGCACAGGACAGACTGGATGACGTAACCTATCAAAGAGCTCGTCATGTGATAGAGGAGATAGACAGGACTGCCCGAGCCGCTGAAGCCCTGAAGAGAGGAGCCTACAAAGAATTCGGCAAGCTCATGGTGGAGAGCCACAACTCCCTGAGGTACAGCTAACATCTGTTTCACCTAGGTGTTTTGGACAGAATGAGTCCGGTGTAACCCCAACTGGTCGAGGAAGATGGCCACCCACCTAGAGCTGGGGCCTGTCCAAGGGTTTTTCCCTTCCCACCTTTCGCCAAGTGCTTGCTCATGGTGGGAACTGTCACTGTAAATAATTTTATAAGTAGTACGGTCTAGACCTGCTCTGCTTGAAAAGTGACCTGAGATAACCTTTGTTATAATTTGGGGCTATACAAATAAAACTGAATGAAATTGAATTGAATTGTGAGGTAACTCAGTGTCCCTGTGTCAGAGACTTGTACGAGGTGAGCTGCGTGGAGCTGGATGAGCTGGTGTCGGCAGCCATGGAGGTGGAGGGGGTGTTTGGCAGCCGGATGACAGGTGGAGGATTCGGCGGATGCACTGTGACTCTGTTGCAGGCCCACGCCATCGAGAGGACTATACTACACATCCAGGTTAAAACACACACACATATACATTATATACTGAAGCAGTCATTTCCAACCTGGGAGTCAGACCCCCACCCAGGAGGTGTGTAGAAAAACTTTAAAGAATAAGGCCTATATGCCCTTGTACTGCAGTAAAAAAGTGAGCTAATAGAACAAGCATCAGGGAGAAGAAAACACAGATATACACAAGTATATTAAGTATGTGTGATTGTTAAAAAAAAACTAAAAACATGATACAGACAGAGAATTGTATAAAACATTTCTAAAAACATCAGGAAGACTAATCTTTGAACAATATTTACAGGAAATGATTCTTCCAAATTGCTTATTTTACAAACTTCTAGCACTTGTTGAGTTCACTTTTTACAATGTGTCAGTTGTTCTCTCATGTTATTGTTATGTATTGAATATAATATAAAATATCCATAAAATATGTAATTTAGTCAGGGGTTGTCAATTTAGTATATGATAGAAAAGGTATACCTCAAGGAAAAAGGTTTGTAAAACCACTGCTGTAGAGATCACGTGTACTGTAATTGTGCAGTCCTAGTGAACATCTAAGGGAAGATTTACGCTGACTTTAATCCTGGAACACTACTCTTCTGATAGCAACACGAATGTAAGCCGACTGACAGTAACATGTTAGAACCACATTCACAGATGTGTAGGATTTAGTGGCATCTAGTGGCGAAGTTGCAGATTGCTACCAACTGAATACCATTTGCCTTCCAAGCCTGTAGGAGAAACTGGCCCTACCTTGAGCCAGTGTTTGGTTTGTCTGCTACTGTAGAAACATGGCAGTTCAACATGGCAGACTCTGTAGAAGTACCTGTACCTGTACCTCTGCAGATAAAAACAGCTCATTCTAATGATTCCTATTTTTTCTGCTGATTATACACTAATTATAACATACCTATGAATATTATATTCCATTTCTTCAAATAGATCCTCCTAAATGTTACACACTGGACCTTTTAATAGATCATATTTGTTACAGTACTTAAATAATGGATTTAAATATTTAGCTTTTTCCTGCAACATAATACAGCAGCGGCAACAAAGTCAATTTTGCTGTTAGTTGGGATATGTGTCTGTTTTTATGATTCTGTTTTCTGGGAAATCTTTGCATTCCAAAGGGTATTTGAAATGAAAAGTGTCTGAGGACATTGTTCATTTGTTCACTGGGGATAAAAAGCACTTTTCAGTGTTCTGGCTGTCACTTTAAGGGGGGGGCATTTCAGACAAATTGCCCAGTCCCCCGTGTCTTGCTGAGACAGCTCCAATGTGTGTGTGAGTGAATGTGTGTGTGTATGTGTATGTGTGTGAGTGAGAGATCAGGGGGTATGAGCTGAGAATAAAAGCGAGCTTCGTGGAGACGGAGCCAGAAGTGTCCAGTTATTAGCATGCTGGTCTGGTCACTATAGCCCCCGCTGCCTTTCTGCTTTAACTGAAGGCCTGCTGTTGGCTGACACCAGAATCCTACAGGAGACACGTCAACAAAGATGTAAACAGAAAAACACGGGAAACAGCTGTATTTCTAAGGATGATGTGTTTACTTCGAAGGAACAGTGAGAGGGAAGAGAGCAGCAGCCTTTTTATAGGCTTGAAACTCCGGTTTTATAAATCTTGAGCTTTGGAAGCAGACTTGGCAGAATTCCTTGCATCTTTCCTAACTTGGCGGTATCCTTTCTACTACTGTGGCTAACTTTCAAAGAGAACAAGACTTTCTTGGACACAAAAGCAACACTTGAAACTTCCACATCCCTCAGTCCTCAGCATTCCTGACCAGAGCAGAAGGGTCCTTCTCTTTAACAACAACATCAGAAAAGGCTTCATAAAAATCGCCTCCAACATGTTGAACCTCAACTCGCCGGACGACAACAGCAACAGGAATTCTCTACAGGACCCGGTGCCACTGAACGTCGGTGGAGAAATTTACACCACAACCCTGGACACTCTGACGCGCTGCCGGGACTCGATGCTAGGTGCTATGTTCACTGGACAAATCCCGGTGCTGAGAGACAACAGAGGAAATGTTTTCATAGACCGTGACGGAAAAGTGTTCAGGTACATTCTGAATTACCTGCGCTCCAGCTCCCTGGACCTGCCGCATGGCTTCTCAGAGCTGGAACTGCTTCGGAGAGAGGCAGACTTCTTCCAGATACGGCCCCTGCTGGAGGAGATTCGGCACTATGAGGCATCAGTGCCTCTCAGCCTTAGAGGAGGGCCACTAGGAGCCATGATTATGGTGAATGTTGACTCCAAGGTACGTGTTTTTAAAGTTAGACCAATGTGCCGGTCTGAGAGTGATACAGGTCTGTACAAGTCATGTACAGATAGTCTACCTGTCTTTCTATCAATCTTATCTAACTCAAACTTTTTACACCGTGGAAAATATTAGGCTCTCCAAGTTCCACCATAATTAAAATACACTAGCATAGGCCGACCTTATTCAGCTACAGACAGTTCACGTAGCAGGCAGGTTTATTGGTCAATTATTAGTTGTTACGTGAAATGGGCCAGTACTCACAGGTACTGAGTACTGACACTTTTTTTGTCTATGAGTATCGCCACCTCTAGGGTTAGTCTAGGTACGAACTCCCCACTGGCATTACCACCCTACTCTGGTGGTTAGGTTAGAAGAAATGTAAGGGTCTGAGCCAATCACAGGTAGACTAGGTGTGGAGTATGGGTGGGAAAAAAATAATGGCCATTTAAAATTGCATTCCTGTGTAAACAAATAGCAAGCTTAGCACTGAGATTTTTTTTTTTTTTAGAGAAATTACGGTTAGGGTTGTGTTCAATAAGGGTACTGGCCCCTCTTGTTCCAATTCAGGCACTGGTTGACTGTTGCTGAATCCTGAACAGAACCAGTTCAAAACCAGAGCTAATTTGGTGGAAAAGAGGTACTCCTGATCCACACCTTTCTTCTCAAGAGTTCCCTTTTGGAGCCACAATTGCAGTATTTTAACCCCTTTATTTTAGGTGCTGATATAGAGACAAAATATTACAGTTATTGTCAGTTACATTTCAGCAATCTCATAGTTTACGTATTTTCATAGTAGTAACTACTAGAGTCAGCTCAGTGGTACACGTACCATAGTTTGAAAACCAGTGCTTTAACTCTTAGTTAGAAAGTCAGTCAGTGCATTTACATTGTTGAACTTTTCCTTTAAGCCAAATTGAAATATTGAGTGGCTTTCAATAGAGAAATCTGAAACAATAGAAAATACTGGCCTTCACCAACCTTTAGAGCTAATGTTTAGTGTATATACAGTAGATGAGCAGAGGATGTGTGTCTGTGTTTGCACATTCAGAGACATGGAAAGACCGGTTCTTTGTTGTGTACACTCCAGAGATTTTGTAGTCAGCATACTCTGCCCTCTCGTTCCAGGTCCGCATTCTCCACTTTAACTTGCGCCATGGGCCAGAAAACTATGAGCTTCGCACATGCTCTGTGCGAGCCTTCACGGTTGACCTCTTTTGTACCTGGAGAGCCTTCCTGGCTCTGCTTTGTGAGCGCTTCTCCTACAGGACATCCCAGGGTCTCACCAGCCCCCATCCGTGCAACCCGAGGCAGAACCGGCTAAAACTGGAGTGGGTGCCGAGGCCTGATGAACTCCCGCAGGACCAGTACGACAAGCAGCGCTACCGGGGGCTAATCGTCTCTAACCCAGAGGTCCCGCAGCCGGACGACATCATGAATGTGCCCTGGAGCCCCTGTGAAATCACAGACATGCAGGGGTTTGTGGAGGAGCTGCTGAAGTTGTCTCTGGCTGAGGGATTCAAGGTTGATCTGGTGACTCCAGACCCAGCGGAAATTCTCAACTGCACCTCACTTCGACTTGTCAAGTGCTGAGCTTTGGGCAAAAAAAACATAAACTAAAAAGCTGTAGAATAGGCCAAGTTAATGAACTGTGGATGGTTCTCTCTACTCACAACTGAGCCAATTATCTTTAGAACTTCAATTGTTTAATCAAATCTTAGGGTTAGTGTAATTTTGTAATTGCAGATTATGAGGTTATTAAAAGTATTTCTGTTTTTTGGCCTCTATGGGTTAAACCAGACAGAGATGCATTGCTAGAGGAGAGGGCACTTCAGAAAGGCCTTGGCAAAAAGTGTGGGGGGAAAAAAACAGCTGATGCGCCTGTGAAGTGAGGCAGCATGTGCTACCGGATAATTTCAAAGAGGTTGATAACTGAGTTTACTTGGGTTTACCCCCAACTACACCCCTCAGTCCATCAATCAGCTCGCTAACTAGCTAGCTAGCCTATTTACCAGCGTATTAAACAGCAACAAAATCTTGCTTGATTTGATAGGCTGTCTGGGCCAAGTGCAACATTGACGAGTGGCGTGACTCTGTGCCCTGCACTGAAAAGCAAGGCGTAATACCTCGCCAGGCGTGCCATACCATAGGAAAACAATGGTTTT